TGTGGGAGATCAAGGGAAATTTCCCCGCTTGATCCGTGAAGAGGCTCGTGTTGCCGGTGATATTGACACGTTTATTTCATCCACACGCGGTTTACAGATGTGGCTTTGGATGCCAGTGTGCCTTTTTCATGGGAACTGATCGTGACTGCTTTATCAGTGCTGTTCCCAAAGGATCATGGGCGGAATCTGCTCGACTCACAGTTCTTTTGTTTGATCAGTGAAATGCAAAAAAAGAAAAGAAAACAAAAAAACCCTGCATGTTTTAGATGTACAGTTTACAGAGGAGTCTCCGCCACAGATTTTACTGTACATAGTTTTAGAACGAGCTTTTCTTTCTCAAGAATTCACATGTATTTCCTGTAAGTATAGCTTTATAGACGTCATTTATTTCTCTGTTGTTGTTTCGTTTGTTTCTCTCAGATGAGTATGGAGCTTTTGTGAGAAGCTAAAGGGATGCTGAAACAGCGTGCAGCAAACAATGCTCTGTCAAGCACTCTATTCAGCGTACGAGCTGCAGACGCAGCAAAACTGAACTGAAAAAGATCTAGATTTTATTAATAATAAGGTACTTGACCTCGGAGCAGTTCACAGGAAGTCCATAAAGCCCAAGATAAACACTTTCCTGTGTGACAACTGGAATCTAGGTTTACTATGAGAGGAACTGATACCTTTGTGCCATGAAAGGGGTGTTTCTCTGCTATGCATTGATGGAGCTCTCTCCCATTATTGGCAGTAATGTGGGTCTGAGAGGAAAGACTTGTGTGCGTGTGTCCTCCGAACAGCGGGCGAGTGTTCACAAGGGCTTTAACACACCGAGTGCTCGCCGCTGCCTTCTATGCTTCAGGATTTGTAAATTGCCAAAGCGCAGGAGTCGTGTCTCTGAGTGCAGCGACATATTTCACCATGTGCCTTCGGTCTTTATGTGGGTCTCTGTTACGGATCATGGTATGTGGCAATATGCACAGTGCCTTAACTTACAGATGTTACAGAATTTAATCTTTATTATTATTAAACTGTAATAAAGTTACAGTTTTGTAACTTTATTAGTTGATTGAACTAAAACAAATGTTTTGACATCCATCCTTGTGAGAGTGCTAATGCATAAATTGTGCATTGAAAAGCTGAATGAGATTATTTATAAATCCTTCTGGTATCCAGGCTAAAATAACTTGGCTGTGGAGAGCATTCATTCATTCAGTCGACGCAGTTCTGACATGAGACTATTTCGGCTCCAAAAACATTACTCTCTGTGCTAGTTCCACTAGCGTTTGAAGAAACCAAAGAAATAATCAGATCTGTCCGTCATGCGTTTATGGATTTTAAGAGAAAAGGGGGAGAAAATAATTTGAATAGTCATTGTTTTTGTCTTTGGAATAGATAAGTTATTTGTAAAAATAAAATAAAAATAATAAAACAAGAAATAAACACTTGCTGGAGTTTTTGGATCTTTAGAATGTATTTCAAAAGGATTGTTCTTCTGGCTTCAGGTTGAAATTAAACTGAAAAATGTGGTACATCTTGTGGAAATACACCACACTGCGAATTTAAAATGATTCAAAGCCGTATCCCAAAACCTGCATAAAGTTGGGAAGTGTTTACCCTCACGAACAATAAAAAACTAATAAAGAGAACATACTTTGCTCACTGACACAAACTAAACCTGTGAGCATTAAAATGAGAACGAATACAGCGGATGTGTGATTACGAAGAATGAAGATGGCATTACACGAGTGTTGAACACAGAAGCCGCTCAGACTTGGAGGCATCTTGGCATCTGACTTGAATCCAGTGCAACAGCTGTGGGGTTTTACAGGGGTTTTTAACTGCTCACACACTAAAAGATGTAAGTGAACCATTTACTCTTATAACAAATATTCAGACCAAGTCTGCAACGCTGCAAGCTCATGATCTGCTTCACACTCAGTTTGCAATTGAAAAACTAACTTTCTAAAGCCCGTTCTCTACACTACAAACCAAAGCAGTATCAAGTGCAAATCTAACAAGCCAGCAGTGATTCTAGAGCTCAGGTCAGTTCAGTAACTGTGAAGTTCATCATATACAGTGCGTTTCTCTACATGTGTGTATGTGAGGGCTTTGACAAACTCCACTGAACAAGAAAAAGACACGATAGTAGTGTTGGACATTTGTCATATCTGTGTGTAGCGGTCTAATCATTCAGTGTTTGTGTGTAGAGCTACTACACAAAAACACAATTTTATAAGAGCTGAAATGGGTTTGAAAGACCATTGTGGTTTTGTGTAACAGCTGGACGCCGCAGAACATTGTATGTGGTCTTTATGTTTGCTGAGAGACTCCAAGTACTGAACTAGTGTTGTCACGGTACCAAAATTTCAGTATTCGGTACCAATACCAGTGAAAATCCACGGTTCTCGGTACCAATTTCGGTACCAAAGCAAAACACAAAAACATGCTAATTGAACAACATTTTTATTAATAACGTTAAACAAAAATTAAATGTACAAAACCAATGCCATTCTTTATACTTATTTAAAATTGTTTCAAGTTTTTCCACAAGTAATAAAAGTATGAAAAAAGTAAACAAGTTTCACCCAAAAGTTAAGTCATAGTTCTGCTGCCGGTGAAAAACATCTGTAAACTGTTGTCTGTTTTAGGGTTTGCTGGTGTGTTTCAGGATCTTCCTCAGTCTGCAGCTGTAAAAGCAAAATATAACATACTTCAGTAAAGCAATGGGCTGAGTCTGACCAAATGCAACATAAGATCATTGACACCAGCTAAAATATAACTTTTCAGTAAATAAACCCAGAAACCCAGCTGCTGAAAGCATCTTGACCTGAAGAAATGCAGGTCAAATGCAAGGTTAAAAATAATATTAGCAGCAGCATGCATAGAAAGTCATATTATTATTTTTGCTAATATAGCAGCGGCAGCAGAAAGCGCTTTAGTTGCATGAAATTTTAGTGATAACTCATGGAGGGTAAATTAACTCTTTAAAGTGCAATAGGCATTTATTACTTTGCTAATTCAACAGGGGTTACAGCAGGTTTTGTGCAGCAGCAGTAGATTATGCTTCGTAAATTCTGATTAAATATTACAACCGCAACAGCTCGCACAGTAAATTCCTACTACAACATGGTGAATATCATTAACAGCAACAGCATTCTACTTTAACTCAGTATTGAAATGTTAGTGAATATTATCAATAGCAGCAGTAGCAGAGGTTTTGTTGCGTTGGTCGTATCGCACTGCATACATTGTGGACAGCTTTACCTATCGTGACGGGTCTATTGACTTGGTCATGTTGTGCCGCTCGCGTCTGGCGTAGACACCATGTTAGAGTAAAATAGGCATATTCGCCTAGCTACTCGTATGCCTAATTTATGGAGCTCTCAGCAGTTCAGTCTCTTGTGCAGTAGCAGCAGCTTACATAGGCATCCAGTCATCGAGATTTTTCTCAGCAGCAGCATGCACAGCATTTCTATGTTGCAAATTTTAATTTAGACACAATTAATATAAAAGCAGACAGCTGCATTTAAATAAAGTCACTGTAGTGTCTTGCTCAAGACCATCTTGGAACGTGCTACGCATTTAGCAATGATGTGTTCATACAATGCAAACATTATTGTTCTTAATATGCAATATAAATATTTTAAGTTATCAAAACAAATGAGCAGCTGCTTTTGAGGCAGAATTCAAATTCAAATCCAAATCCTGGGCATATAACACCACAACTACAGGTTGTACAGTGATTTATTCTTTCGCCAAATATTTTGTTAGCTTATTAATAAGTTAAAGGTAAGGGTAAGTATTTCCATTGCAGTAACATTGATGAACGTTAATGGGGTAAAAAAATTACAACTCTTGAATGACAAATTTAAAGCTATTTGCTCAGGCCGCCGAGCCTGGGTCAGGTGGTTGCTGGGGGTTACTTCATCTATCAGCCTACAGTGTGAATCCTGTTTGTAACGACACGCAGTGCGCGTTTCTACCTAGCTAAGTTTGAGTTATTGGCTCAGACACACAGCTATATACCCCGTTATAAATGGCGCTGATGGTTTTACTCAGGTGGTTAACCGACTCTTTTCATAGCTTCATTCTCTGGTTTTCCTGATGCTTTCATCCATCAAGTCTCAATTTAAAGGTAAGGGTAAGTATTTCCATTGCAGTAACATTGATGAACGTTAATGGGGTAAAAAAATTACAACTCTTGAATGACAAATTTAAAGCTATTTGCTCAGGCCGCCGAGCCTGGGTCAGGTGGTTGCTGGGGGTTACTTCATCTATCAGCCTACAGTGTGAATCCTGTTTGTAACGACACGCAGTGCGCGTTTCTACCTAGCTAAGTTTGAGTTATTGGCTCAGACACACAGTTATTTAGGTCATTAGTTAAAAAAAACCTGAGGGTACAGCACCCAGGTTCACATCGTTAAGCCACTAGTTAATTCATAAATAATTGTAATGAATCATAATTAACTGTAATTATTTATATACATTTCCCTTTTGAGCTAATTTGCTACATCTGCCAAGACCAAATACATTAACATTGTCATATCCATCACCATGCTGAAATCTTCAGGGAGTTGTCATGATTAAATTACAGTTCTGTTCAGTTTGGTGAAACGGCACACGGCGCTGTCTGAGCGTGATTACATCTAGAGATGGGAGCTTCCCAAACACTGCTTCATGAAATATTTAACAATCTTTTGATTCAAATCTGTGGTTCGGAGCTTGTTTCAAACTCGCCAAGTCATGTGATTTCAGAATGTCAAAATTCCAATGATTCGCTGCTAGATAGATTTGATCTGGTGAACCCATAAACGGTCTAATGGTTTTAACTGATCTCAAATTTAACAACGTAGTCTTAATTAAATTAATTAATTTTAATACGTATGCATGTATAATAGAGAAAGGAGAATGATAATTAATTGCTTCTGATTGGCCTAGTTTGCCAAGCCCTGCCTAATAAC